CCAGGTCATCCAAATTTACCTGACAGGTCTCTCTGGCATCTTCCCATCCTTCATCCCTCCTGTTGAGGCTGTGAGTGAGGGTGCGGTGGGGGCGGAGGGCGGCAGTGACGGGGTGGTGGTGGAGGAAGCAGACATGGTGACGACGGTGGTTGCCGAGGATGTGGCCGAGCTGAAGGATGGGATGGTGACCTCCTGGGCCTCAGAGGCATCTTCCCCGCAGTGAGGACAGAAAAGCATGCCGCCGCCGCCACCGCCGTTTGATCTGCTGCGCCCACCGCCCAGCACCGTCACACAACCACGGTGGAAACGGTGAGCGATGCGCTGGTCTGGGCAGCACTCTAGAAACGTGCCCTGAAAGAGAAAAAAGGAAGGAATCAAGAAGGAGAAAACCTTCATTTTAAGCCATAAGTTATTGCTTGTAAATCCCTACAGTAAATGGGTTAAACTCTTTACCACGAGGCAGAAGTATCCACACCCAGGGCAGCAGTGGTGTTTGACCATGTGTGAGCGGTGGATCTCACAAAGCATCATGAGGGGCACCCGACTGGACGGACGCATGGTCTCCCCTTTCATAGTCCGACTGGTACAAGCCCTCAGCTGAAAGACAAGATACAGTTTGAGATGTGAGCTTTATAAACTACAACAGACCAGCAGAGACGTCATGCTGCTCTCGAAATCTAAAAAACACAAACCTCTCCATTGATGCTCTCAGTAGCCATACACTGTCTGCTGATGCGGTGGCTGCTGCTGTCCGCCCGGGGAGCCTCCATCCTGCAGCTGCAGAGAGGAAGCTCCTCCAACCGCTCCGTGTCTCCTGCATCACTTCCTTCTGCAAAGGGAACAGAAAGATTGAAACGTTTATGGTGTTTGTCACCAAGAGAGTATGGTCACCAAAAGGTTGGGAGATTGATTCTATTTCAGTCTGTCCATTGTCTATTTTTAGCAGTCATTTGAGAATGTTGGGGTAAGCTAGATCCCAGCATTGACAACTCAGCCATTTCAAGCTTGTTTTTGACTTTTTTCAGATTTACAAAAGGGACACGTATGTATCATTAACTCACCGTGATGAGGAGAAAGAGTCAGACTGTCGGCAGCGGAGATGTCCAGAGCACCCAGAGGAACCTCCGTGTACTCAGTGGCCCTTCCTGCTGTAAACCGGATAACAAAGTATAAACATTGGTCATGAGAAAGACATGTGCAGATCTTTTTAACTGCACTCCGAGACATATTCAGCGCATTGGAGATCTTTCTGTATCCTTCCCCTGACTGGTACATGTTAATAAGTGGGAAATTGGCAAAGCAATGGCTCTAGTTTCCAGACAGAGGAGGAATCAAAGCTTAAAATCACTTTTTTCTCTTTGATCATACGCATGTGATCCTCATTCAGCTTATGGTCTCGCCTTAACTGACTGCACCAGTGAGCATGTAGTTGGATCAGAGTAAAGGGGGCTGAAAGCTTGCTTTATAAATGATATGTATATTTAACCCACTGAGTAAAGTCACTCACCTCCCACTGTCTCAACCACGTCAGCCGAGATTCTCTCTTTTTCCTGGTCTGATTGCTGCCACGAAGACTCCTCGCTCTCATTTCTACTCTTGACAGTTCTCTTTGTTTCAGACTCTGAACCCTGCAAGGGGAGATATATTGTCTGTGAAGGGTGGCAACACATAAACTGGTGATTTTAAAACACCAAACAGAAGGTGGCATGGAGATGCAGGATTGAGGTGTCCTTTTTTTAACACAAGCAACACGACAGCGCACATTTTGATGATCATGTAGCATATATGTTTGCATCTCTACGGTTTGCATGGACGCACACACATATTTCTGCCACTGTTTTCCCACTGTTGATATAGTTAAAAAATGAAAACCTTTTTATAATTATATATATATAAATCTTCATATTATAATTTATATAATATCTATTACTAGATAAGAATGTAATTATCAAGCTAGTGAAACAAGTAAAAGCACTCACATGATCTGACATGTTCACAGACCCCTCTATGTCTTTACTTTGTCTTGCTTCCGCCCCACCATCTTCAAACTATTGATGAAATTTGACAATAGTAAAATAAACAATTATTCCTTCAGTTGGTTAAAAAAACAAACATGCATCACATACATATGCTAATATTTGCATCAATAACAACTGTATGTGAACCATAAGTAGATCTAAGCGTCAAACCTTTTCTGAATCTTGCATGGACGGACTGGAAATAGGAATTTTCTCGGCAACTTCCTGCTTTAATTTCCCAACACTGCTGTTGCTCTTCTCTGGTGCAGTTTTGGTAACAGTCTCCACTTTTTTATGAAATAACGTTTCTTCCTGAGTTTTGAAAGGAAAAAAAACATTACATTCAATCAAATTGCATGTAATCTGATGAATAAAAGTGAGTTATGTGCGGGCAAAGACATGATCTTACCACAGTTTGAGCATTTTCTGGAATGTTTTCTGATTGCTCAGGCATGTCTTCAGATAAATGACCAAGTTTTCTCCTTTTTGCAACTATTGAAAAATTAAAACCACAACATTTATTCATAGAAACGTTATTATTTTCCAGAGGTAAACATTAGTTAGCGTGAGTATGCGAAAGCCACTAACCCTGTTCAATTTCAGAGGATCCTGAAGGTATCACAGGCGCTTCAGTGTGGCTCATCTGTGAAATAAAAACCGTCAATACCGTCAATTGAGCAAATACTAGACAATGTGTGTTTTGTTGGAGGCTGAATTATAATCACTTTTTACATTTTTAAATGTTTACTCAGGTCAAGGAAAAAGGACCCAAATCAATATTCAAGACAGAGTTACACATTCTCGTTTACATTTGAATACAAAAGCCCTGCTTTGTAGACTCACCTGCCCGGTTGCAGGCCTGTTCATGGTCTTTCGAGCCCGATGAATCTTGGTTGGGGGAGGGGAGACAGAAGGAGATGAGGAAGCTGTGGCAAACGAGGAAGAAGAAGAAGAAGAAGAGGAGGACGGGGAAGGAGAAGGTGCCAGGACGGATTTACTACTGCCGGGTCCAGAGACACTCATCTTAGCTCGGCCAGGGGACAACACTGAAGACGTCGAAGGAGAGGGGGACAATGACGGAATGGACTTTGCTGCGTGTCCTTGAAGAGAGAGGTAAAGACATTACTGTGAATTCATTGATAAATCTTTTTGAAGCCCTTCAATCATTTGAAACACATTCAATCTGACTCAAGCAAATGTGTTATTCTAAAAGGGTTCAAGGAACTTAAAAAACGAATCGCAAACTGCTGAGTTTATGCTTCATGTCAAATTAGGTCATTGCTTCTACTGATTGCAAATAGCCTTACCTGCTGCTGCTTTGCTAGGGGAGGACGCAGGTGACCACTTCTCTCCCTCCTCTCCAGCTTTGGAAGAGTCCTTTCCAGGTTGCAGAGATGACAACATTGATGCAATACCACCCATGGGCTCTGTCTTCTTGGGGACAGCAGCTGTGGTGGATGCTGCATTATCTGGAAAAGTAGTAAAAATACAAAAATCAGACAATAATTCAGCGTATTTGAGTACCTCAAAAGCACAGATTAAACTATTAAATTATATCTCCCTCTATACATACCTTCCTTTACTTGACTTGGACCAGGTAAGGACTCTTCTGGTGTTTCTGAGTCATTTCCTTCAGGAGGCTCCTGGCAAAGAACCAAGAAAAAAAGAATGTAAGAAAACATCAATCTGTTATTTAAAAAATATCCATTTATTCACTGCAATACACTGTAACAGAGACACATGAGGAGCAATTTAGATGCAAATTAGCTTTGGAGTAATGTAACGATGTACACAACTGGACCCTTTCACACACTATAAATCTAAAGTACTAATATATAATGGCAGTTCTTTGTAGTTTTACCAGGTAAAAAACAAATCTTTCAACTGTTTGATGCCTTGGCTTGTAAGTAATGCAATATTTTATCAAATGGAGAATGGATAACTTGTGTGTAATAAGGAGGATAAGTGTTGTTTGTGATCGTTATTGTGGTCATTATAATGTAAATAATTAGTCAATCTTTTCTACACCTATATTCACATAATTATATATACAATAGTCCTGTCTGTTCTTTACCTTTATTTGTCCGTCTTTGTTGTCCTTGTTCCTAGCTGTCCTTGTATGATTACAAATACTGTTACTTGACCTAAAGTGTGATTCTGATTGTCCTGCTTGCTTTATAAATCTGTCAACCAATGGCTGATGGTGTCTGTTCTTACGTCAAATGCCGCCATCAGTCAATCAACCCATTCATGCATTTCTACACATTTCAAAGCATCGGAAAAAAAACGGAAAGCAGTGAGATTCTGCACACTTACTTTATAAAATCCTCCCTCGAAATCCAAATATGTAAATATGTAAACATGACAATGTGTCTTGTGCGTAGACTGTGGGTCTTAACATTAGCTTTGAAAACTGAACATACATCATACAAGAAGCAATATACTATACAGAAACCGCAAAACATAACAAGACTAACGCAAAATGATGAAAATGCAAGGAATAGAGACAGAGGAACCGACGAGATAACCAAAACATTAACAACATAAGAACAATTTAACACAAAACATGTTACAGGCTAACGAAGCTAGCACTGTAGCACAGCTTTCAACAAAGAGCTCCTATACATCGACAAGGAAAGACATTTTGCATCATGACAGATTGCTACTCTGGTGGCGTGCTTTTGCTATGTATGCTAATGTGTTTACAAGTTGTGAAACAAATGTTAGTGTCGTTAGCATGCAGTTTTGAGTTGCAGAAAGGCTTCGCTACCTTCGTTGTTGTCTCAGATGCCGACATGTTTCGCGAAGCAGCGCATAAACGTAAAAGGACGTGCCGCGTCACCACCGAGAGCCGCGTCACCACCGAGAGCCACGCCCCCTGGTCGCTGATTTTTCAAACAACTGATCTGAAGTCAGTGAGCGTTCTCTGATGAAGCCTACTGTAAGGAGAAGGCGTTCCACTGAATCCGATTCCAGGTCAGTTTACTAACCAGAGATCAGCGGTTTCAAGAGGCGCTTGCTCCAAAAAAGAGGCCAAAAAGTAAACAGAAATCGAGGTAGTAATGTTAGTTAGTGGCAGCAGGGATGAGGAAAAACAGCGTAACAACATCTGAATCAACTGTGTCCCTATTTATACAAATGCAGATTTGTTTTTAAGAAAGCCCAGGAGACATTTAACAAAAGAAAAAGGCGAGGTGAGTAAGGACAACATTTCTAGATAACTGTGGGGTGTCTGTTTGTTCCTGTGTTTAGTTATTACCTATGGTTATTACCAGATGCAAGCTAGCTTAATGCTAACGCTAGCTAACGTTGAGGCCAGCAGAAAAGGATGAAAACAATCATGTGGTGATGGATTTCAGCCTCTAACGGAGGGCAGCCTCATTGTATCATACTCCCAGTATTCCTTTAACACATGCAATGCTGATCTTTGTCTCAAGCCCACTTCTCTTAGCTTTATCACGTTAAAGCTGTCGATTTACCATTAACATGAGGATGCAGTGACGTGAGAGTAGATGCCATACTACAATTTAGGCTACCAAATTGAATGTAGCACTATAACATGTAACTACAGTAAGTAACAGATTCAAGATTCAATGTTTTTGTTATTATTATAGATTAGTAATAGAGTGCCACAGTGACGCGTCTTAAAACCCGGAAGTAAACTCCTTCCGGTTCCTTCGACAAAACACAAATTGAAGAGACAGATCACGTTTTTTTCACAAAACGTGAAATTGAAGAGACAGATCACGTTTTTTTCACAAAACGTGATCTGTCTCTTCAATTTGTGTCAACCACAGACCCTATTTCGAGCTATTGGGTTAGCTCCAAAATCCTATGGAGAAATTGCATTGGTTTTTGTTGAAGGAACCGGAAGTGGTAAAATCAGGGTCGGCTCTAGAACAACTTGAATGGGGGGGCAATCATTTACCAAGGGGGGACACACACTGCCGTCAACAACCAACACACAAACACCAACTTCAATTTAAAAAAACATGCTGTAAAGTCTATTGTCTTTCACACACATTGCAGGGGTGTAGTGCTATTGTATAGTGCACCTATGACTTGTGCATACATGCACGGTTGTGGCACGACCACCAAAACAGAAACATATAAGGACAGAGGGTGTCGTTTTCTCATACTGATATTCTGCACAAACTGTGCTGTTGTATTTGCTGTAAAGTGTCTTTACTGTAGGTTATTTTTGTATTATACTGTATATACAGCACTTTGGCTCGACCAAAAATCGTTGAAAAATGTGCTATATAAATAAAACTTGATTTGATTTGATATGGACATAGGCCATCATATAAAAAGTGTGCAAATGTATTTAGTATCCTATCCATGTGAACATGTTTTAGGTGGGGGTGGACCTAACCTCCTCTAGGAGGGTCTGGGGGCATGCTCCCCCGGGAAGATTATTTTTAAAATATTGAAGTTAAATGCATCAATCTGGTGCACTTTGAGAGCAAAATGAAGAGATCTATGGATAGCCTACATCTCTCAGCATCCATATGAAACTGAACTGTACACAGATTTACTTTTTCTTTATGGATATTTCACTAACTGTATTCTTGTGTTACTGTCCTATAGTATTTCATACCCGTTTTTCATTTATTCTCTCTTTAATAACTATAATGATCATATAAAGGTATTCCTCGAAAATACTTACATAAATGGTGACCAAACCGTTTGAGACCCACTGAGATAACTTACACTAAAGTGAACTATCTAAACACTGAGAGAGTCCTTACCTCACTGAGCTGACGTTATAAGATCCTCTCAGTCTGACAGGAGAGGACTGTCCTCCACCTTGGTGTAGAAACAGCCCTTTATATCCGTTAGCATAGCTAGCTAACCAGATGCTAACCACAACATTCCACGTTACCGCTCGCGCACTCACAAAATGCGCTCGTGCCACACACACACAGAGCTTGAATGAAACACAGAGACCCACAGGGTCGGCTCTAGAACAAATCGAATGGGGGGGAAATCATTTACAAAGGGGGGGCACACACTGCCGTCAACAACCAACACACAAACACCAACGCAACTTCAAAAAACATGCTGTAAAGTCTATTGTCTTTCACACACATTGCAGAGTGTAGTGCTATTGTATAGCGCACCTATGACCTGTGCATACATGCACGGTTGTGGCACGACCACCAAAACAGAAACATATAAGGACATAGGCCACCATATAAAAAGGGTGCAAATGTATTTAGTATCCTATCCATGTGAACATGTTTTAGGTGGGTGTGGACCTAACCTCCTCTAGGAGGGTCTGGGGGCATGCTCCCCCGGGAAGATTATTTTTAAAATATTGAAGTTAAATACATCAATCTGGTGCACTTTGAGAGCAACATGAAGAGATCTATGGATACATCTCTCAACATCCATATGAAACAGAACTGTACACAGATTTACTTTTTCTTTATGGATATTTTACTAATCACTCCCCTTTTAAACTGTATTCTTGTGTTACTGTCCTATAGTATTTCATACCCGTTTTTAATTTATTCTCTTATTCTTTAATAACTATAATGATCATATAAAGGTATTCCTCGCAAATACTTGTTTACATAAATGGTGACCAACCCGTTTGAGACCCACTGAGATAACTTACACTAAAGTGAACTATCTAAACACTGAGAGAGTCCTTTACCTCACTGAGCTGAGGTTATACGATCCTCTCAACAAACCTGGAATTATGCATTTGGGACGTTTTTTTGCTTTTCCTTGTTGTACCGAACCCGTACCGAACCGTGACCCCTCCTCCACTTTGGTGTAGAAACAGCTCTTTATATCCGTTAGCATAGCGAGCTAACCAGATGCTAACATCAACATTCCACGTTACCGCTCGCGCACTCACAAAATGCGCTCGTGCCACACACACACAGAGCCGAGCTTGAATGAAACACAGAGACCCAGAAGTAGGATACTTGTACTGTACTGTATATGTATATCATATTATTTTCGATGGCTTTACTGTATAATCACTAATCAGTGTAACAGATGAACAGATCGCCACCGGGCTTTCATCTAAACACACAGCCACGTAATGATAACAAAACAAAGGTCGGGGGTCATTGGTCAAGCAACACACCAATCAGAGAGCAGCAGTGAGCACAGCTCAGGCTGTGTTTTATATTTGTATTCTTTATTTCTGACGTATTTCACACAAAAAACCTTTAGTGGAAACGTTTTCACTTATATGATTTTTTTTTTTAAACGGCAAAGTGGCTAGGCTTGTCCACCCTGCGTTGGGGGGGCACAGTGACTCATTTGGGGGGGCATGGCCCGCGAATGACCCCCCATGACGCCGACCCTGGAGACCCATGTACTTGTACTGTACTGTATATCATATTATTTTTGATGGCTTTACTGTATAATCAGTGTAACAGATTAACAGATCGCCACTGGGCTTTCATCTAAACACTCAGCCACCTAATGATAACAAAAAAAAGGTCGGGGGTCATTGGTCAAGCAACACACCAATCAGAGAGCAGCAGTGAGCACACCTCAGGCTGTGTTTTATATTTGTATTATTTATTTCTGATGTATTTCACACAAAAAACCTTTAGTGGAAACGTTTTCACTTAGCCTATATGATAACAACAACAAAAAAAATCGGCAAAGTGACAAGGCTTGCCCACCCTGCGTTGGGGGGGCACACTGACTCATTTGGGGGGGCATGGCCCGCGAATGACCCCCCATGACGCCGACCCTGGGTAAAATGCTAACTTACTTTCGGGTTTTAGGACGTGTCACTGTGGCACAGAGCGCTACTGATTTGACTTTACAGCATTACAAGCGACACAATCATCCCTATTGTTACTTTGGTTAATGTTCAACCTGAGGTAAATGACCAATAACTATTAAATACTATGTTGATTATATTTCATACAGGTCATGTGATGTCATTCACAAATAGCAATACGTTAACATTTGAAAGGCCATGTAAAGTGGTAACCGGTATATATTTGTTGTTGAGTAATTACTTAGTTTAGTTTGACTTTTGTCAAATATAATCAACAAGTTGAGTTATCTTTGTAAACCAACAATAATTTCGTACTTCATAATTTAGATGACCAAATATGTATATATGCTGACAGTTATTTTATTCTTATTTTTACTCATCTCCTATTTCATAGTCTTTTATTATTATTATCATTATTATTTTATTTTTGTTCTTGATTTTATTTTTTATTTTATTAATCTGTGTGAATCTGTGCTGTCCTGTTTTTCACGCTTACCCTGCTTGTACAACAGAATTTCCCCACGGGGATTAATAAAGGTCCATCTTATCTTATCTGATATATCAGTTTAATTACATGAATGCTTCCCCAATTCTCGTCAGACAAGATGGAGATGCTGTGTTTCCGGTTACCTGGCCACGGGGACACAACCCTAAAGCACCTGAACACACTGAGGGCCCGTCAGCAATTCTGTGACATCACTATTGTGGCCAGCGATAACCAGACCTTCAGGGGCCATAAAGTTGTCCTGGCTGCCTGCTCGCCTTTCCTGAGGGACCAGTTCCTCCTCAACCCGGCCCCAAAGCTCCAGGTAGGCAAATGTCAACACTCACAATGTCCCACTGATAAACTCTGTCGTTGTGTCTCTCCTCAACGCGCTTATTTACGTTATTTGTTTCAAATGTTTACCCAGGTGTCGATGCTGTACAGCTCCACAGTGGTGTGTGGTCTGCTTCAGTCTTGTTACACTGGCCTCCTGCAGTTTAACCCAGAAGAGATTGTCAACTACCTGACTGCTGCCAGTTACCTACAGATGGAGCATATTGTCGAGCGCTGCCGTGGAGCCCTGAAGAAGTATGTGCAGCTAAAAAACCCCGGTCCAGCAAAGGTCAGTTATCCAGAATAAGTTGATGCACAAGTAGATACATGTCATACAGTTGTGGAAAAGGCTTTCTGTGTCTTTTACTTTTCCTGTTGTTCACTGTGAAAATTGTGAGAAACTTAACTGGTTTTTCCCCAATTTTATCCTAATCATATGTTATGTCTGAGTTCTTGTGTGTTGCGATGGGAGATGATTTTCAGTTCTACACATTATAGGCATTTTCATAGCTAATGCAGTTTTGTTGTAGCAATGGCATAATCTGTGTTTTTCTGTTCCTCTAGATGACTTCAGAGAAGAGCCAGGCTCAACCTTTAATTGTCAGCGGAAGCGTTCATTCTGTTGCATCCCCTCCCACCAGCCAACCCTCCCCTTTGCATCTACACAGTCCTGTAGTGTGCTCAGTGGAGGAGAACAGCGGAGACATGTCTGCCCGGGGAAGCAGTCAACACTACCATGGCAGTCCCACTTTGGACGAGCCATACATTAAGGTTTGTGTGTGAAAGAAAACCTAAATTTGTGTTGAGTGTTAATGAATATATCTGAATGTTGGACTGTAGGTTAGACAGAGCAAGCAATTTTAAACATGTCTGGGGAATTTTTAGTGGTGTATTTCACTTTTTTTTTTACAGCGCTACCTTTCCTTATTCCGTCTTAATTTGTTGTTACAGGTTGGCGCATCAGATGAGGAGGAAAAGGCTCGACAGGAGGACTATGATGTGTTCAGAGTGTACATCTCAGAAGAAGATCAGATGAACAGAGACCGGGAGGAGGAGAGAGGAGCTCCCTCTGAAGGAACACAGGATGCTTATTACCCAGAGACTGACGGTGTGGTGATTGGAGAAAGCGGTGAATATGAGCTAAATCCAACAGAAGATAATCTCAGTACTGAGGGACTTTCAGCTGAGGGGCTCCGCGCTTTCAGGCGCAGGCTTTCTGACCCTAAAACTGGGCGAGGGAGAGGCAGGGGTTTTAGGAAAAGAAGGTGGGTGTCAACACAGGAGAAAAGACTTCCAAACAACCAGGATTTGTGGTACTTAGCAACTGCAGGAATGGGAGGTATTATGAACATGGACTACAACCAAGAAGGGCCAAAGACAGGAAACCTCCTCTCTGTTGAACTCCCACAGTTAGACTACAGTATGGGTGACACTAAGGGGGAAAAGGTCTCACCAATGGGAGGCAACAGTTTGACCCAGTGCGCCCTGGAGGAGTCTAGTTGTGGTGCTGGTGAGGGAAGTTCAGGGCTGATGACTGTCGGGACAAACGAGGGAGGGGATGAGTCTGTCGCGGTGGTGGGATCTACCTCCAGTGTGTCTGGGCCTGTGATCTGTGAGCACTGTGGCATCACATTCCCCTCTGCCCAATCCCTAGCCTTCCATTCCCGCTCCACCCACCTGCTTTACACCTGCCCCTGCTGCGGCAAACACTTCCACCACTCTGCCAACCTTACCCGGCACATGGCTGTGCATCGAGGCGGCGGCAAAACTCACCAGTGCCCCCTGTGCTATAAGACTTTCACCCAAAAATCCACACTGATAGACCACATGAACCTCCACAGCGGCGAACGGCCACACCGCTGTGCGTACTGCCACGCCCGCTTTGCTCACAAGCCTGCCTTAAGACGCCACCTGAAGGAACAACACGGAAAAACCACAGGGCAGAACTCTCTACATGAGCAAGAGGAGAGGGAGAGAGCTGCAACAATACGAGAGGAAGAGCAAGAGTGCCTGGTTACTGAACAAATGTCATTAAAGATGTAAAATACGTTCTAGACATCTTAGCTACTCGGTTGCCTACTGCAGTTACATTTTGCAGAGCAACAAGTCCAGTGGGGAGGTCAGTCTGTTGGGGCATGGCACCATGTAGATATTAAAATAATGGTACTTGTGGGTTATGTCGCCACTTTTATTTGTTTTTTTCAGACTCTCTAAATAACCCTAACCCCTAGGATTAATGTTTGTTATTTTGAGAAATTAAAAAGTTAATGTGGAGGAGCCAGCTACCCGCTATTAAAAAGTGGCAACAGATAACCCACAAGTACCAAAAGAACAGTTAACCCCAAAATAAAAAAATCACATTTTCCTTTCACCTGGGGGGTATACTACGAAGCAGGATTTTCGCCGGCTAAATTCAGCGAAAACTCGGGGTTTCCGGTCCTACGAAGCTGGTTCTCTTTTTAGCAGGCTAGATATCCATGGTAATTTATGCTGTGCGGCTAACCTCGGGGGTATACTCGGTATACTACGAAGCAGGATTTTCGTTTAGCAAGATAACTTCTGGGATTTCCGGTACTACGAAGCTGGTTCACTTTTTAGCGGGCTAGATCTCCATGGTGACTTATCCTGGAACCTAGTCCGTGCTCCGAAGCAGGATAGGTTCCAGGATAAGAGATCAACTCAGCGAAAGCACCACGCCTGCTGACCAATCAGAGCTCAGTGTGCGGAGGAAATACAGTTTAAACTGCAGTTGCAGGAAAGACGGCCGGCCAAAATCACCGACTGTGTGAACGTGAAAATGAATAGAATATCACCTCCCATCTTCAGAGCAATCTGACTATTATACTATTATGTTAAGAAAGATTAATTAATCTGCCACAACATAAGTAACCGGATCAAAGTAACATTACGTTGCCTCAGTGGCGAGCCGTGACTTTTATACCTAGGCCCTCTGACCCTCCCTTCCCTCGAAAAAAAAGAAGAGATATTACGTCTCAACGTAGACTTCAGCGGAATATCAAAACAGTGGTCCGGGGTGAAAAACGCATCAATGACAGCGACCCTCTACCACACAAAACAACATCATTTATATAAACACCTATCATGACAGGGCACCCACAGCCAAGTAGCAATTACAAATGATTTAAGTCGGCACGGCGGCCCGCATTGAAAATGACTTAGGCCTACCTTTGATGATCAAATCACTGAAACACAAAGTCCATCCTCCTGTCCTTTTGGATGAAGCACTTGCGGGTTATTCAGCTGATCCTTTGCCACTCCAGTTTATCATTGTAACTCAATCTTGAAAATGACTCTGTTAATAATTTCGCAACGATGTCATCACTATCACTGAAGTGAGCCATCATGAACGAACTTATGCTAATCATAAATCTATCGATCATAAATCTATCGATTAGATTTATGATTCATAAATAATAAAAGTAGGATAGACATGTGGATATTATCCGGCTGAACACAACGTGCATTTATCTAACAGGTTCGTTTTCCACAGACCTTATTTCGAGCTATTTTCCAAAATCCTATGGCCTGTTCAATTATTTTATTTCTATTGTGCACTCTAATCAATATTGTTCGTTTATACATTTTAAGAATGGCGTTTATCTTTTTTGAGAATTAGTTCTTATTTTATTTTATTTATTGGGGTCTACAACAGATGATACAAATGTTTGTGTCGGTAAATGTGTACTAACAGAGGCGGGGGGTGTGTGGAAATAACGGGGACAGAGCTGTTGTCAGACGATCAGCTGTGCAGCGTCATCACAAACGGACGTCACTTCACGTGACGCTCCGGAGGAAAGGACGTCCCATTGCTCTTAAAACTAATTTCCCTGCTTCTCGTGGTTTCCTTGCGTCCCTCCATGCTTCCCTGGTGGGAGGGACTAAACGCAGGGAAACGACGCAAGTGAGGGAAGCAAGGATTTCATTTTATCGACTTGAGAAGCAGCCATATAGACTTCTATCTATATGGCGCTGGCATAGACCTCACAGTGGGCGGAACCTGTCATAAAGTCCGCGAAAATAAAGCCCGCCCATTTAGAGGGAAGATATGATTGGTCAATTGTACTGTCATTTGACATTACTCTCTCGTTGAGTTGGGCCCTCTGTGAATGTAGAGAGGGACCAACAAGCTCTCCCGTCTTCACAGTAACTCGCAGAGACGGCATTTAACCCTTCACATTCCAACAGAAACTGAACAGGCAGATTCGAAGGATTTATTTCTTTGGAAATATTATTTTAAATACAATTAAATCAAGTTATTTTGGTAAAATTAATGAAAAATGTAACAACAAAAAAATATTATTTTTTAGAATATCTTAGGCCCTCACAGAGGGCCTAGAGGGCCCTGACGGCTCGCCACTGCGTTGCCTACAGTCCGCGGCACTGTGAGTGCAGACGTCGATGTGTCCCATTATCATTCATATCACATCATAATGTATCATATTTCCTTATCTGAGTCAGCTAAGCCGTATCTGGCCGTGCAACACTCACAGTGTCACATACTGTATGCAGAAGTATTATTTTAAGCAACACATTAAGTTGACGAAACACTCGAGTCAAATGTAATTAAAGTCAGATCGTGTCTTAGGCAGTGATATCATAAAACCTGTTAATGTACGCATTCAAACACTTTTTCTTTTACCAGCTGTATTCACCTTGCAGGTGCAACTATGTGACTTTTATCCTGGATAAAGTGTTTAATGGATGTTTAAAGTTTAACTTCTTCATATGTCTAATATTAAAGTTCACTTTTCATTCAGGAAGTATGACGCTGCGCTGTCCGTATGCTTCTCCATGTTTGTGATTGGTCGAATGCTCCAAATACCACCCCTTTCATGTGAACGCGCACCTAACTAGATAGAAAACGGCTGGCTTGAGCGATCCACTTGATAACCAGCGTCGTAGTACAGTTTAGCGAGAGCGCGTATATTTTGGATTAGGCCAACCGGCTAACTCAAACATATCCAGGTTAGGTTGAACCAGCTTCGTAGTATAGGCCCCTGATCTTCATTCAGAAAACAAGCATTTTAAAAGTGTTTTTGCCTGCCGTCTGTCTGCAGACTTGTCAAGCATTAATTCATGGTTTTTACTAACCGGTATCAGTATGTTGTTACTTCGGCATCATTTAGAAACGTGTATTACAATTTAATCACGGTAAAATATGTTCATTTTGTTGTAGTTGTAGCTCCCGAGCCAGCGCGTCTTGTTTGAATGATGCGAGTAAACACAGCTGGCACTGGCAGCCGTGGTGAAACCATGGGTGAAACTCGAGCGTTTAGAGCGATGGGAGCGAACAACGACCCCTGATAGATCTTGCGAGAATAAACCTGTTAATGTACGCATTCAAACACTTTTTCTTTTGCCAGCTGTATTCACCTTGCAGGTACAGCTATGTGGCTTTTATCCTGGATAAAGTGTTTAAGTCATGGATGTTTAAAGTTTAACTTCTTCATTTTTGACTAGTATTAAAGATCAAATGCAAATATTTTTTTATAATTGCCAGTAAAATCGAAATCATATAGCTACAACACTATCTAAGATATTGCAGTATTAAAATCGGAGATAATATGCGTCTGGCAATGCGCAATATTTATTTTGTTCAACCCCCAACACCAAGTCCGACGATTTATTTCTCAGCCGCTCGTCTCCGCAAGATGGCGTCGCGTGACGTCAGAGTGGCCAAACATATTTCCACCTGGCTTATCGCTCACAGCTGCTTCCGCCGATAGTACAACTTAGTTTCGTTATCATGTCTGATTCTGAGTCGGAGGCCACCCAAGATCTGGGTTGCATTCCAATAGTCCATTTAGCTTAGGAACCTTCCTAACGGAGTGAAATGACCCGGAAGTACGACACTGGCAGCCATGATAAGTGCCGTTCCAATTCTCCAAATGAAAGGAAAGGAGGTTTCAAACTTCCTTTATAACCTCCTTTAGCTTAGGAACCACTGGACCTCCCTAACCGAAAGGAGAGGAGAAAATGCAGCCCCACAATGCATTGCAGCCGCAGCATTTGCCGTCACTCAACAGTCGGCCGTTCACGGACACAAACGATAATGGGAGAAATTATATCATGAAAGTTACGGTGCTTATTAAGCATTTTAAAACGTATGTGGTAAGTTGCCAAAGTGCTTTGTTTTGAACGTTCATCAGTATTATAATCAAAAAGAGAAATATGAACGTTAGTTTTTACTGAAATGATCAAATAAAGTCAACATTTCACTGAGCTGTGTGGGGTTGTTCAACTTTTAAAAAATGTTTGAATGGTGATATACACAGTGATAGATGTTAAGGACTAACGTTTATAATAAATACATTTGTATTTATTTTAAGATATTTTAATAGTTCATACAATCATACGTATTGGGATCATTTGTATTAATGTGGACCGGAGGGAGAGGGTGACGAGCATAAGTTTCACTTTCCTTTTTTATTTCAATTCCAACTTTGGTCATGAAGAATATGTTTCTCTGTTGTCCACGTTCATAAAGCATAAAACAACAGCATCAGAGCACGGTGCAGAGTCTCTAGATGAGTTTACAGTAGTCCCTCGTTCTTATTAAACATCCATGTTGTAGTCCGCTGTATAGAAAACTGTAGTTTCCATAGTTTCCCCACAGCAGCAGACGCACATTCATGACGTCCGCTGGCGCATCATAAACACTTCGGATAGTGAAAGTGCATTCGGATTCTCTAAGCACCGCAGTCTCTTCTCCTAAATCCTTTTGAATTCTCCTATCCACTATCCCTTAACCTCGTGACGTTTCACTCAGAGGTCAAGGAATAGGAGATAGGGTTAGAATTTAGGAGCTGATTTTTGGATTATCGGAACGCAACCCGGGAGTATGTTGTCGACATCCAACCATATCTATACGAGCCTCTGATGTCGAAGAGGAAATACAAGGAAACGTCAGGTTCAGGTTTCAGGCTCGAAAATGCCACTAACACAACAAAGACTATATCTTCACTTGTAAAAGGGGTAAATTAATTGTTGGATGTAGAAGTGTCAGAATCAATATAGATGTTTTTATTTTAAAGTAAATTCAGATGGAACATAGTAAAAACATGTAAATTCTAATGTCCGCCTAAAAAAAACCCATTAGGCCTACTTATAGTGAAAACCACCCTTGAATGATGGGTTAGTAGACTAAAAGCTTTAGGAATCAAAACTATAACATATAATAAGTACCCTGTATCAAGATTGATGCAAAACAAGTGAAATTTCACCTTTTTAGAGAGGTTTAGAAAAATAAAGTTCCATTTGAACTTTTTCACTGTAAAAATCATTTTATTACTTTGAATTATCACTATAGGCACATCACTTGTTTGCCCTGGTTCTCAAAGGAGCACCTGGAGATGTTGCTTGGTGCTCATCCTTAAAATGAAATAAACTGTAACTTTTGAGGGGGTCTTCACTTTATTTGCCAGACACACGGCACTGAACACACATGCAGAGGTGAACACAGAACACACATGCAGAGGTGAACACAGAACACACATGCAGAGGTGAACACAAGACAACATTAGCACGACCAGTAATCCTACAAGCTGTCATCACTACCCTCCTGACTGTTCTCACCACTGTCTTCCTCTCAGACATGGTAGCTGATGATGTAGGCCTACTACTTTCTCTCTGGTTGAGTCTGCGATTAGCTGCTTGCATCCACAAGTCAACAGCTGGTTTTGGGTCGAAAGTCTCTGTTGTCATCTTAGACAAGTGGATGTAATCAAATAAGTATGTGAACATAACCAATAACCTACCATAGCCAATAACAAATTAATGTAACTTGTGTTATTGTTGTTGTTCATATCTTATTTTACCTTAACATTTATTTATGCATTTTTTTTTTTATCTCTCCAGTTTTAAAGGATATTTTTGGTTACTGTCCTATAGTAGCCTATACATTGGAATGATTTCAAACCTGTTTATCCCAATAATTATAAAGGAGTGCCTTGGAAATATGTGTTTGCATAAATTGTGACCAAACCGTTTGAGACCCACTGAGATATAATTTAGACTAAAGTGAACTATCTAAACACTCAGAGTCCTTACCTCACTGAGCTAGTTATCAGCCTCTCTATCTTACTGGTGAGAGCTCTCCTCCACATTATTGTAGAAACATCTTATTCTTATATCTGTTAGAGCAGCTAGCACCAGATTCTAATAACAACTGCGCCGGAACCGGTGCACCCTCCTTCCCTCGCTCACTCGCATTTTGGCTGTGAGCTGCGGGCGCCAGATAAGCCAACATCCCCCATTTTCATCACTTACAGCGCCCATCGTGCAGGGCAAATGAAACGTGTAACCGGGGTGAAAAGGGTGTTACATTTACTTAATTATGAATATTGTTATATCAAGGCCGAAAATTAGGATGAGCACCAACGGTCAAAAATATGTTTTCCCCTCCCAGAACTGCCAGTGCAGCGCCTCCACAGATCTGGCGCCCTAGGCGAACATCTATAACGCCAGCGCTACGGGCCGGCCCTGAGTTCATATGCAACTCGCAAATATCTTTCTCTCTCTCCTCTCTCCTCTCTCCTGTTTTCTCTCCTCCCTTCTCTCTCTCCCTCTCAATGTTGGTACGCAAATGCGCCTTTTTTCAAATGACCCGGTGCTCTTTTTTTGGCGGAGGTGCGCATGCGCACCTGCGCACCAGTTATGTGCAGCCCTGACTATAGGTATTCATTCCATCCAAATACAACTGTTGTGAGAAAAAAAAAAAAACATACTCTGTTATCCTCTTAGCCCCACGGACCCGAAATCGCGTCATTTGCAGGAAACGACGTCTAAGGAACCTTAATATTTAATAAACTATGAATATTGTATATCCATATAACGGGAAAAAACTCATTTAACTGATCTTTTTCATTTATTTGAAGAAAAAAAAACACAATGCTAACAGTGAGTCTCTGAATTAGCCCCGAGCGAAAAATGCTAACCGGAAATCATTCCTAGCTCCCTTATTACTTATCCTAGCTCCACATCCAACACATTGTTTATGATCGTAAAGACACATAATCTAACGGTGCCCACCTCTATAAGCAATACAACTGTAATTCCGTTATCTGCTGTGCTCCGTGCGCTTTGAAATCAAATCAAAAGTTGTTTACCTCAATTCTTTGGCGTTTCTGCATTGCCCGGCTCTTTCGTTCTTTCAGTTGTTTTTTGTGCTCAAATATGGAGGGGACGGCTCCGGGTTTCAGCCTCCGATGTACTTTAAATGCTTCTCCACCAACAGACTTGACGATGGCAGGATCAACATCGTATGCATCACACGCGAAGTGGTCAGAGCACAACTTGCTCCATTTTGTCGGCTGCCAGCCAACACGATTCACTAAAAAAATCCAGTTTCGGCGGATGATTTTGTCTTGGGGAAATGAATGAAAAATTCTCCCAGATCCCGCACCGTTCGTACATCCAAAAGCACAACAATAACCCATGTTTTTGCGTGATTTCGCGGATATAATTCAGTTTTATTTTCTAAAAAACACCGCTGACATGTGAACGAGACTGCCGAGTCGGGATATTTGGCCCAGAGACTGTTTGGCCACAATGACGTCACGCGCGCGGAGGCTGCTGGGAATGACATGTCAGAAATTCAGACGGCTTTGGGTCGAGTTTTGTATCAATAAAAAGCTTTTTTTTGGGTGTATTATCTCGATTTAAATAAAAGAAAAAATACAGGCAGTCTTAAAAACAAAATTTCTATAAAAATGTAGCATATTTGGAAGCTTTGCATTTGATCTTTAAAGTTCACTTTTCATTCAGGAAGTATGACGCTGCGCTGTCAGTACGCTTCTCCATGTTTGTGATTGGTCGAATGCTCCAAATACCAGCCCTTTCATGTGAACGCGCACCTAACTAGATAGGACACGGCTGGCTTGAGCGATCCACTTGATAACCCGCGTCGTAGTACCGTTTAGCGAGAGCGCGTATATTTTGGATTAGGCCAACCGGCTAACTCAAACATATCCAGGTTAGGTTGAACCAGCTTCGTAGTACAGGCCTCTGCAGTGCCATTTATCAATCTACAATATTTTGCCATAGAGATGACTTCTTTCTCTCATAAATTATGGACCAGGATGGCTGTCATGTTCCAGTATCCTCCTGTTTGTGGTGCTCTAAGCCAAAAAAAAAGTTTTAGAGTCTCAACAGCAACTTCTCATCCAGATCCAGATCAAAGCACTGTCTTCTTTTACCAAACAAATTTGGGGTGAACTGCCCCTTCTTAAGCAAGAGCTGGAAACTGACTGTGATGCCCTTATAAAATGTCACTGTGAAAATTGACTAACCACAGTTCAAAGGTATGATGTAAACCAGTGTGAATAAAAATGTTGGAAAGTTTCCTCCTAATTACATCTAAAAATCATTCAATTGCACAACATTAGTCTACCAACCCAGATATGATGCTGGCAGAGGGACACCTGCCTTGTTCTTCTGTACATTTTTATATACCTGTTGGGGTGTTGTGTAAAAACATTCAGAATATACCTTTTAAAAGTGGGATTTTTAAATAAACAGTTGCTCATGCAGTTCCCTAACTCCCTGCCCTTCCGATGTTGAAAAGTTGGTCTCAGATTTTCAATACTTCCGTGATTACACATACACGTCTCACATTTGGTCTTTGTTGCCCACTGACAGAGTTTTGTTGATACAAGGCTCATGGAAATATTTTTATTGAGATCCAAACAGCATCTCTAGTTTCATGAACCACAAAGCATTACATACCAACCATGAAAAATGCTCCAATCAAAGAGACAACAGATTATTTTGTATTTATGCTGCAACACAGAAACTAGCGGATGTCATTAAAATAACATCAAAAGTAAAAATAAAAAAAATTCATCACAGGAAATCTTCACTGTACACGACTTGATTCCTCTTGTCCCTGTAGGAGCCTTTAGTGCTGTTCTGCACAGCTGTGAAAGAAAAAAAGACATTGTTGAAGGTTAACCAAAGGCTTTGCAGAACAAATACATAAACTATAAGAGTGCTGTGTTTACCCAGTGAAGCCCAGACAGATTTGCCTGTGGCAGCGTCCAGCATAGGCTGCTTCCTGGCGATGCTCACTTTGACGTGAACATCTCCCACTGTGGCTCCATTCAACTGTGAGATAAATACAGCGAGGTGAGTTTAGAGTGGCCGCCTGCTTTGTATACAGTCTACATGAGCAGGGCATCCCTACAACTAGGGATGACGTCATCACACTTTCTCATGCCTGGTTTTGCAACCAGTATACTACATTTGCATGGATGCTTTTTGCTTAACTTAGCCATCTCAAAAATATCATGCTTAAACTGCAAAAAACGTACTCTTCTCCTCTTATACAAGACACACATGGCCCACAACATTGTTATAGAAAACTGCTGCTTCATTTTATTAAAACGTTTTCAAAGATAGAACACCAACCTCAGCTACGGCCTGGTCTGCAGACTCCATTTTCTCAAAAGTGATAAATGCACAACTGGATAGAGGAAGAGAAGAACAAAAATCACTACTGGTTGTTGAACAACATTTTTTACAAGAGAAATTATACAGTATAGTGCATTATGGTTGTGCAGATTCAATTCAAAATGTGTTCTTAATTCAGTACATACGTAGGTCATTTTTTATTTCATGATCTACTCAATGTATAATATTATGGCATGAAAGCAGAATATAATGGATAATGGAGTTTTTATACTTAAAAAATAAAGAAATATCAACTGATGAAATTATGTAAACACATGTCAAACATAGGACGAAAGATAACATTTATTCATGCATAACTTGCACGAATAAACTTTTCATTGAAAGTTTTTGTTCTTTTCAATTCTCAAAGACAATTCTAGAAAAAAATAACAAGTTTAAGTTATGCAAAAAATGTAAATGTATTAAATCCACGGTATTGTGTATTTTCAACACAACCTCACAATAATGCTTAACACAACTTTGCCTTGATTGTGTAGGGTAACTCCATCATAAGCAAAATCTAAGTCCATTAGTAGAAAAAAACATTTAAAGAAATCTAATTTTCCATGCAGAATCTTAGAGATAAGAACCTACCTCTTACCACTACAGTATGTGAAAAGGGACAGCAACACATCCATGACATTAGGTAGGGATGAAACCACTGTGCACACAGAGTTCTTTAATGGTTACATACTTGCGTGGGTTGTCCATGGAGAGGTCAATGATGGTTCCATGTGGAGAGAAGGAAGAGCGCAGGCTGTCCTCTCCGAGCCCAGAGCCATAAACATACACCGTGTTCCCCTTTCGTACCCCTCTCCGCTCTGGGTATGAATCTGAACCTGAGAATTAAAACATGGGAGAGGAGTTAACGCTAGAGTTGGATAGTAATAATTGAAGAGATATCTGCTCTCTCTGTGGATGGTTTATTTTTGTCTTGGTTACTCACGTCTGAACGGTGCATCTCTTTCTCTGTCCCGTTCCCTGTCATTGTCTCGATCCCTTTCTCTGCTTCTGTCTCTTTCTCTTTCTCTGTCCCGCTCCCTTTCCTTGTCCCGGCCTCTGTCTCTCTCCCTCTCCCGGTCTTTGTCCCTCTCTCTTTCTCTGTCCCGCTCTCTATCCAGCTCTCGTTCCCGGTCCCGCTCCCGCTCTCGCTCTACGTCCCTTTCCACTTCACGGCTGGGCGGCACGCTGCCTCCTTCCTCCTCCTCCCGGAATCTGTCTCTTGAGCTGACAAAGCTGCAAGGGGCACACAGGAAAATGATGTTACACCCATAGATGTTCACTTTCAGTGTATTAAACAGGTGGTTTTGCCATTACCTCTCATACAGTGGCCTCCTGGATCTTTTCCCAGCCTATGAGAAGAACAAATATGATAACATCAGAATAAGCTGTATTTCTTTCCCCCGAAACGCTTTATTCCTTCTTAGACCTTATAATGTGCAAATGTGTAAAGGTATGTTCATTATATGGCATATGGGTTTCTTTTAACTCTACTACAAGAGTCGCCTATGTTTGAAATTGTACATAAGGTATTTCACTTTGAGGAGAAAAAAATAACTTGAATAATATTCTAAATTTCAGGTTGTGATACTACTTGAGAAAGAAACCTACAAACATAAAACACAAGACCCCAGAATCGTCACATTTGTATGTTTTAAATAAACAATACCTCAAGTGGTTCCTCATCTGTAGAGACACTCCTTTGGAAAGGTAAGAAAGCCGGATTTTGGCCTTTCTCGGGGTCCTGTGGCAGATAGAGAAGAACAATTAAACAACATAAACAAATCAAAGCAAGAAAACAGGTGACCATCAGCCAAAACAACACCTTCTAAGGAATATCAGCTTACCTTTTTTTCCAGCATTCGAGAGCGTTTAAACCCGGAGTTCTTGTTCTCTGACTTGATGGCGCTGATGGCACCCGTCTTGATGAGCATCTTTGCTTGTTCTGTGGCCGTTGCCGTGTCAACAACAGGCTGGTCTGACAAAGCTGTTATGAAGTGTAAAGTTAGAAGCCTGAATATCGCAAAAAAGGTTGATTGAGTGGGTATTAGTATACAAATGGGCCTGCAGGTATTTATAGTTGGTCTGTTCAACCAGTTACTTGTTAGTATTTATAGTCAGAGCATTTATCATTTACATTTCTTGTTAGGTGTACTTACTGTGTTTTAATTGTATTATAAAATGATTGTGAACAGAACACATTTGCACATAAGAACAGAAAGTGACATTGTATAAATTGAAGTGATTGCTAGATAAACAAATTGGTTGCGAGTAAACATAATGTGTAGTTTAGTTAGCTGAGAAAAGAAAATGCTGAAGTACTTTAAATGGAGTCTAATGCACTTACTCCGTTTTAAGCCACTTTGGTTTGTCTGGTTGGTTGAATTCTGCTTCTTCAAGGCAAGCAGGGCCTTTTTCTAAAAAGAAAGGGAAACAAGTTAATGTTACAAAATATAAAAGTGTTCTAAAAGAGAATTATTGCAATAGGGTTCATTAATTAGCTTATAGGGATCCTTTGATAATAAAGTCCTAAATGTAACAGCAAGCATCTATTTATTTACCTTTTTCTTAAGTTTAGCATATTTCTTTTGCAGAGCCTCTTCTTCCTCCGTCAGTGAACTTGGAAACACCACCATGACGACAACAACTACAACACAGACAAATACATTAACAGGCGAACACATATCATTGTTGTTAAACAAAATAGGCGTCAACAAATGTAGTTATGACCCGTTCACAGCTGCTAGCCTAGCTAAGCTAATAACCCTGATAAAAAACACGACTGGCGTCCGAAAATATACAGGTAGTTAGCCAGTTCAGACCACATACAAAGTAAAAGTCAACCTTTAGAATAATAAATGCATGTGTGATCTCTTAAAACTATTTTATATACGTAGTAAGAAGCTCTATTTAATTCATTCACTCACCAACTTCAAACGGTGGTTCCTCAATAATAACACGGACGCGTAAATATGACGTAGCATATCCAGGTTGCGTTTATCTTTTTAATTTTTGCAACAACAATAAGCAAAAACATGTATCGACAAACACAAAATGTACACCCATTTGGAATACATGAATTGATTATATATTGTAGACAGCTTTATGAACACGTTTAAAGTTTATTTTTTATTTTAGCTAGCTTAGTAGCAGCTTCCGCTTGTCAATTTCGGCAACTTCCGAAGCGACAGCAACTGTTGGTGGCAACTTTTAGCTTTAACTTGAGAGTGGGAACATGGACAGAATAAGTAAGTCTAGCTGTTTCAATGTAATGCTAGCCTGTATATTATTGTTCATATTGAAACGCGTTTAAACTTGCTAATAACGCTCACTGTGTAGCTTGTGTGATGATGTGGCTAACAGGGTAGCTGTCAAAACGATATCCATTCAGAATAAATACCGAGATAATAACCAAGGCTGTAACGATGCTAAAGTTAGCTTTCGATTATCCAGTTAAAGGGGAAGTTAAGTTGGATTTCGTCGCGACCATTGTTCCATTTTTTGCATCTCTTTCTGTTGTGAAATATTGTTAGACAAGCATTGAAATCTGCCTTTCTTGCATTTCCACAAGCAAAACACACGCATTCATAACACAGTAAGGAGTGCAAAAACAGCGGCTCTGTAGCTTTGCATTATAAGTACAATTGCCTTAAACTTAAAGAGTTAAGTTAGCATTCGCTTGCACAGGGCGCATCTTCCTGGCCTCATTGTGTTTGTTCAGTCCATTCATCCTCTTTGTGTTGTTTCTCTGCAGATGTGCCCCCCGCGGGCCCCATGGACCTGCCGCTGTCCCTGCTGGAGATGGGATGCTCCGGCCGGTTTGAGCTCATCACACACCCTGTACCTGACCAGCCTTTAGCTCCACAGAGCACGGTGAGTGCCGCAGGATTACTGTACATTAAACCACAGTGAAGTTTTGATTGTATTATTAGATATTAGAAAGACATTAACTACGAATAGCTTCCATTAATGTGACACTGGACAAATGAGACACATCTGTTTTTTTTTAATTTTGTAGGGCTTCTTCAGTTTTATACAAATATTTTAATGAAAAAACAGCAGTTTTTTAATTAAAAAGACAAATCAATGCAGCGTTGTTTTATTATTGTAATATTACAATACCTCCGCTCCTATGTAATCCGACCCTAAATCCACACATATTATTTCTACACTGGACAACAGGACAGACCTCTTTTTTATTTATAGTCCACCTTCTTTTGTTAATAGATATTTTAATTAAAAGACGTATTTTCATACAGATAGAAGGTGGACTATATCTGATAAAACAAGATGTGTTTTATCTGGGATGTAATGATTACATGCTGGGTCACTAATTCACTGAATATCTGATCTTATCTCCCCCACAGCTCCCTCATGGGCTTCCTCCCACCTGCCTGAGCCTGGAGACA